AGCAACAATTGTTCGGTTATACTAATGTTTTAATAATTAGAAGACGCATGTCCATACTGCGCGACGTTTAAAATACTTCCACTTTACATTATATCACATAACATGTTATATAAGTAAATGTGACCGATGATATAGATCATATGATACGGATAGAGATAACAGTCTATAGAATTGCAATCTAATTAGTCTAAATACAATATTTACAAGATTAAATCTATTTAAAATTACATATTATCTAATAAACCTAATCCACGCGGCGTGGTGCCAAGCTAGCTGCATTCCCCCGCTACGCTAGCTGCATTTCCCCGCTGAATAGTTATGTTTAACCTTTGAGCGAGAAAAGAACCAGCTCTCTTGTCACCAGCCGCGGCGTTAAGCCTAGGACATAAACTTTAAAAAATGTTGATGTGCGGGGACCCCACGGACCTAAAGTTTCAACAGCAAAAGGCACAAATACATAATCTAAACATAAAGACTCATATTTGCGCCATTTACTTACTTACTTCTAAATTGATGTAATTTGACTGCCTCAGTTTAGGTGTCATATCTACCTCTTATTTGTTTAAAATATCATTCATTCTTTGACGTCCTAATTATTCAGATTTAGTTTTCAGATAAAATATTTACTACTTTATTTCATGTAAGCTCACACAAAAATGTAATATTTATTTTGTTCCAAGTTTAAAATTTCTTCGTGAAATCACGTAACACGAAATCAAATTCAATAAATTTTAACCTGTCGTTTTTGAATGGCATTCATTGTTTACATCGGACCGTTAGTCATTTGTAATTTTTGCGTCTGAATTTATATTTATCGTGCGAATAAATCATGTTTTCATTTTTCCTCTTTTATATTTTGAGTTTTATCGAATTATTCTTTCTACGGTATATCAGCTTTGTAATAATAACCTTGATGGCAGGTACACCCATACCATATATTAGATCAACGCATTCAAATAAATCATTGCTCATACGAATTGAGCACCATCCATTAAAAGCTGCTTACAAAATGTATATATATATATTTTGTGAAAAGTAGATGTCGGTTTATTTCTTACAAAAAACCGAAAACTTACCTGGAATAGATTAATTTGATCACTTAAAACGTCTCGTACGTACACACAACGTACACTCTGTATATTACACTAGCGGACCTGACAGACTTTATCCTGTACACACGGCTCCAGCCGTTTCAGATATATAAAAGTACTATTTGGCTCCAGCCATTTTGTAGGAGTTCAGTGACATATAAACGTACAGGAGTCAAAGTCATAGTATATTTATTCAATATAGGCCTAACTTAAGCTCTTATTGAACGTCAACAAAAAATCTACCACAATAAGAAGAATTATATATATAAAGATAATTCTTCTGTACGTGTGTATGTGTGTCTAGTGAATTTTTTGTTTGTCTTCAGGTCGATTCTAGAGTGGTCTAGATTCACAAATGGGTACACTACAATTTTTTTTATTTATAAGTTGTCGGATTTAAGTCGTGTGTACAAGACAACGTCTGTCGGGTCCGCTAGTTATATATTTTTTATTCAGGATAATACCATTTAACAGAATTGTTTCATTCACATCAAGACGACGGTATTTAGTGTTGGTAGTTTTATAATTTGAGTGAACATTTGCATAATGGCTAAGTCTATGCATGCTTGTTATGTTTTTGCCACGTAACGTCTAATATTATAATACAGTTGTAAATTTTATAGATTAACTAGCCGATGATGAATATGATAAAAAAAACTGAAAAAGATGTTGGTAAAGGAAGAAAAGTGGCAAAAATATGTATTTCTCAACAAAATACTTTACCTGATCTGATACTAGTTTTAGTTGTTGGAACATAATATATAATGAATGTGAAAAAAAGATCCTCCTCTTGACACTTAAAGCCAAAAAGTTATTCAATCATCAAAAACATTTTATATGTGCACAAAAATTACGATGAAATGGTGATTTGAACAGGAATAATGTAAATTTTAAAAATTATTCTATTGATTTATAAAATCTACAACAGTTTCTCGTCACGCCTCGGTTTGACTGATAGAGAATGCCAATTGGCATTATGTCCGCTATTTGTAATTCCTATTTAAGGTGTTGATCAGACTTTTAAAGAAGACTTGTCATCTTTTGCCTGGAATTATTTTTTATGCAACGAGACACGTAAAATACTATTAATCTATTCCTCTTTAATAAAGAATCGTTAAGAGTATGTTATTTCTATTAAGGCTGACACTTAATTAGCAAATATATTAATTTGCATCAGATATGATCTCGTGTGGCTATCACATTATACACTATCATTTGAAGTTGTCATACGACAACCACATTAAGTGCAGACATGAATATTTGAGTTCTGCATTTACATAAATTGTCGAGCAAAACGCTTTGTTTCGAAAGTATTCACATTACAGACTTCCAGAAACAAAAACAAGCGTCCGTTATCTCCCTCTAATTTACGACCCGCCCTCGTTCCAGCGAATTATAAAAAGTTGCGTGCACTTCTTCATTTAAAAGTATTCCGCTTTTGACTTTGTTAGAAGAAAATTAAAGTTACAATGTACTCTTTAACAGATAATTTGAAGTAATCTTGTCGGGTGAATAAAAAGACCATTTCTTAAACGAAATTTAACTCGATTTTATGTTTCCAAAAAATAAGTTATTCTACAATATTGTAAGCGGTAGCCGGGGTCCACTATAGTAAAAGGTGGCAACGTATTTGCAACCATACGGGTGTTGCAAGTGTCTATGAGCTGCGCTTATCATTTGACATCCAGTAGGTATACCGCCAGGTTGCTTGCCATCTTCTTACAACATTTTTGGAATTAAATTATTATTTTTAAATAAAGTATTACCAGCTCAAAAAAAAATATCAATTACGGTACCATACTAATGCATACAAACAAGTTGTTGATGTTTAATTTTTAATAATATTCTCTCGGAAAAAGACGACAAAGTTTTTTCGTGACCAACGGAACTGGACTTTGAGTAGTATAAAAGGCATTATATAATTTTGAACAAAAAAAAACCGACTTCAAACAGAAAACTAAAAAAAACATTGTCAACGCCTAAAACATTTGAGGATTGCCCTCGACTTCTCTTGGATGCCATCATCAGATCTGGGTTTCCTTAACATGGTACCACCCTTGAGATATCTCCTTTAAAAATCATCAAAATCGGTTCATAAATGACGAAGTTATCCCCGAATACACATAAAAGAAGTAAAAATATATACAGTCGAATTGAGAAACCTCCTCCTTTTTTGAAGTCGGTGAAAAATATGACTGTTAATCTAAATACGAAACCTCAGTACCTATCGCCTAAGCAAAAAAATTAACACGGTGTATAACAACAATACGGGTACATGCAACACTACCGTTTGCAGAGCTTCGCTCCAATTTTATGGCCATCAATATTCATTGACTTATCAGCGATGAAGGTAATCCACCATAAGGGAAAATGAAATAGAAGAAGCAAGCAAATAAACCGCAAAAACCAATCAAGATTGAAGGCCGACTTAAGTTACTGACTGGAAGTCAGTCATTTCTTACAAGTAAATTGTTTATTATTTAAATTGTTTGTTATTTGTTTTATTTACATACAACTAAATTGCGTGGAATAAGTAAATCTTTTATGGGACAATGTATACGCTTTTACAACAAAATCACAGAAAACTTTCAAAATGAATCTGTTGCTAAATTCAGAAAAGTTTTAAAGCAACATTTGTGTATTAAAAGCTATTGTATTATAGATTATATGAATGATAACACACTTTGGACATGAATTGATCGCTCCAGGCTCTTACAAGTGGAATTTAATAAATTGTACACATGTTTGTTATTTCTTTGTCAAATTAAGTTAAAACAAATGACCCGCTGAGTATTTTCGCCGGTTCTACTCAGGTCAGTAGCTTTTATTCTGAACCGGTAGTAGTATTATGATATTATAATCAATAAGTAACGGTTTTGTTTGTACGTGAGTTGATGCGTGAATGTGTTATGAGCGGTGGCAAAAAATAAGTAAGATTGAAAAAAGAAAGTTGATTTTGAGTTTGAATACATCAATGCGCTTAAGCGATATTTTATGCGAGCTATGTAACTTATTCAAAAGCTAAAAGGTTTCCAAAACTGTTTGATTTTTATGTCAAAAATTATTCTATTCACACATAAAAATTTTTTTTAATAGATGATCTATTTTCGAAAGGACTAGTGTGTAGATTTAATCATCTAAATCAGTAATTCCTTACTACATGATGTTATAACACATTGGTATTTAGTTCTTAAAGTTTAAATACTGCGCTTTCAACAAACATCACAAATCCACTTTATTCCTAAATTTATCCAGTAGTAAATTGGTATAGCTTTTACTGATCTAAAGTTCATAAACAATTGGGTATAGCAGCGGAACATGAATAAGTAATTAATATAGTTACCCATTTAACATACATTACTGACTGGGCGGCTCGAACATGAATTCATAATTGCATTTACGTGTATGTTGCAAGTTGTGTTAAAGTGATAACAGATGTTTTTGATGTTTATTGTTTTCCTGTGATATGGAAAAAGGTTACAAAATAAGAGTGTAAAGTTAAAGCTCTGCTTAAGTAAAAGAAATTTAATAGTTAATACTCGTAACACCTTACATGACATTAGTGTTATTAAATTATTATGTTAGGATATTAGCAAATACACTGAGCCTCAGAAATAAGACGTTAGATTAGAAATTCGCGAATCCCATAGTTATTTAAATGTCATTGTTGTAGGGCCACTAATGATCAAGCTCCTCCTGGAAATGACAACGGCCTTGTGACTGACGTGAAGCGAAAATATAAAAAAATCGTTTTGTGTGGTGAGGAACCGCGTTCCACTTTTTTTTTTTTTAAATTTTACTGTAATGTTGCAAATGTCCATCATGTTGTGGTAATCATTTGACATAAAGTGAACCGCCAGATCACTTGCTACCTTTTCACCACTGTTACAATAAATACTTTATGTCCAGGTGGAGAGGGTCAGGAGCATGGGCCGGTGTTCCTAATGGAGCCGCCCTCGCGCCTGGTCTTCTCCAACAGCACTGGTGCCAGGGTTTCGTGTGCGGCTCACGGAGCACCCACTCCTCAGCTCGCCTGGCAACTGCCAGACGGCACCCAGCTGGACGACGCGCCAGGCCTAAGGTAAGACTTCACACACCACACTACGACACAACACATTTTACGTTTACAATTCACACAAAATTCCGTGACCTCAGTATCGCTGAGATAAATTGTGAACGAAAATATATACAAATTCAATATTGTAACATATTTGCGTCTTCAACAAATATTAATACGTTTGTATTCTTACGTTTTTAGGGTAACATTTCGTTCACAACGGAAAATGTTTTTGCTAAAAGTAACTGTTATGCTTATATGGACATTGTTTACTGATTTCCATTATTTTCTTTTTTTTAAATGTTGTCTTTGTTTATTGATGGTGTATTAGTTATCGCTCTAAAAGTCTGTCAAGTCTCTTTAAGCTCTATGCTCGGAGAAATGCTATAGCTCCTAAGGTAAAATAAGACAAAGGTATAACTTCTGGCACATTTGCTTCTCTAGAACTAGCCAGGATCCAATTTTTGCTGCTTTTCCATCTCATATGTATTAGGCACACTGGTCAGGATGGTTATTTGCATCGACTATTTGTGTCTTCACGTTTGTGTCTACCTAAGTGGTCACTACTTGCTCTCAACCTTACCAAGACAAGCTTCTAGAATTATTTCCAAAAAAATTTTAAACAAAGTAATTCATTACCATGAAATAAGGATTTTCGAGGCATCTAATTTGTGAATTGTGATTCAATTTTTTAATGTAAAGAAAATAACGTTCACCACCGTATCGAGGTACACACATTGGATGACATTCGAGAGAAAGTTCAGCTTTAGGGCAATAAAAGTGTAAATGAGAGGAAGAGCCAACGGTGGCTCAATACCACTATCATCATTAATTTTAAATATTTCTTTCACGATTAATCATTAAAACCTAGCTAAAGGACTTTATTAATAAATGATGAGATTGATTCAAGTGTCAAACTTTTGAGTTAAGGTGCCACTTTCAGATTTAAACTTTTAAGGCGCGCATCTATTAAGAGATTTTAATAAAGAAGACATTTTATAGTCCACTTGTTTATATCGTTCTCATTGATCTAGTAGAAACACTGATATGGAAACTTATACGGAAGGTAAGCTACTTTAAGTATCTTTTTCTTGTTATCGTCCGACCACATATGTTATAATTTCTTGTATTTACGCGATTATACATCATAAATGTTTGTCCCGTGACCATGAACGCTGTAAAGGGTCCGATAAGTCGGGAATTAAAATCAAAAAATGCGTAAAAATTTGTACCAAATATGTTTTTAATCATTTTATGTAAAACTTTCATTCCCTGTTACATCTATTCAGAGATAAAATTTCGATGCAGTTTTGTTTTATTTGTGGTAGGGCCACACAGCAGGCTCATGGGGAAGTATCACGGTCTTACAGAAGACCGGCGTGATTTATTCTTTCGCGTTTCATTTGGTGAGTGAGGTCGTTACCTCACCACTTCTTGAATATTGGCGACACATCTGCAATACGTCAGATTTTGTTGGTAGAACTTTTAAGAAATGTTATATTACTTTAGGCAATGTAGATTTTCTACGTTCTAACCTACTTAGACTTACGCAAATTTTGGGTTAATTAACAGCAATTTAGGCTTCGTTAAGCATTAACCTCTCACATAAAAAAAGACTTTTCAGAGGAGGTTACGTGCTTGCGACCAATGAGTAATTTATTTCGCTAAGCAACAATAAATACTATCAATAATAATACTACCACTAAATCCACTTTAAGATAACCTAATAAAATAAATATGTATTTGCCTAATTTCTTTACAAGCGCAATTCCTACGGGAAATTCCGGCGGCAAACTTTCGTCCATTTCTTTTACAAATTACTTAATTTGTTTCAACTTACGTGCAAAAATAAGCAATATAAAAATTTAAATTTGAAATATTGTCTATGCAATTGAAATCAGAGACAGGCCCAAAGTCTGCAGAAAGCAGTATATGAATTAAGCCACATAACCCGAGTTTCCCAACTTGAAGTTCATCTCTGTTCTCAATTTCTAATTCCTATGTTTTAATATAACTTATTTCAAGATATAACCCCGCTTGGTTCCAGTTGAAAGCGAACCACAATAGTGGTTTATGTACTTATAAACCCCGCGGAGTTTCTTGCCGTTTGTTCTCTGACTTATTTTTATGTTAATACGTGTCATTTATGTTTTCTTTTTTACGTATCTTGTGTAAGCCGGGCCGGAAAGCTGTTAAGAAGAAGAACAAATCCATACTTGCAAAGTTATTACGCGAAAACATTGAAAAGAAGCACCGTACAAACTGAACCCCACTACGATATCGGATAAGTCCGGCAACTTTTGTTTTGTCTTCATTTTCTCCCGATAACGTTCAAAATTCATGTATTTTTTTCCCCATCGCGGAAAGGGGATTTTATTTTCGGGCGTCTTTATAAGGTATCAGGTGCGCGAACAAAAGCTTCCCTTTTATACGTGCTTATGGAAATGCGACGCTAAAATAGTTGTGTTGAAGATGCGTACGTGATAGGTGTAGGAGTATACACTTACAAATGTTGTGTAGCTTCAATTTCATGTTTTGATAAAAAAATAAATAAAACTTGATTCAGTCTTCTTTAGCAATACCTTGGTTAGAGAACGATTACAACCCTTAAGATCTTCTTATGATGTATATAATATGTCGCTCCTCCCACCGAATAATATGGTAATGTGTTATAAAGATACTTTGGGTTTTATTGCATATTCGTCATGTAGACATCCTTTTACATCTTGTACATTTTTTTCACATTTTTCCTGTGAGTAATTTTGAAACTAGCATTTATATAATAACCATATCCTTATTATTCCGTTACAGGCTTAGTATAATTATTTACATGAATAAAATCGCTACTGATGATTACTACTTGCACTACAAATAAGGTTTTAAATGTTGACTATAACGATATTATTCGAGTAAAAAAGAGCAAACTCGAGTTCTAGTAAAGTATTCTGACAATACTATTCCTGTAGTAATTTTATTTGAAAAATGTGGTAATGTTGGTTAACATTTAATTGTATTTAAAAAAATACAGTTATGACTTTTGCAAAAGTTTACCGGGGCGTTGTTTACACTCAAAATAAGATTCCTGTATTCTTTATTACCACGAGCCTCAAGTAATACGCATCGCTTTCTTTTTTTCTTAAGATAAAGAAAGGGATAGAGCAATACCGAGTACTCGGCGCGTGCTGGTTAATCGCCGTGTTTGTTTACTTTAAACCAGTACCAAAAATATTTAGGTAGTGAAGTGATGCGCTCTCAGTATCAATATTATAATAAGTACTTGCTTACATAATTATCGAGTTCTTTTTGTATTTTACATTAATATTGTGTTTAGTGTGATTTTGAACACGATAAAATCACAAAGAATAATTATGAAAAAGACAGTTTTGAAAAACCCCCTAGGCAAATTCTGGATTTACTGAAATTTCCTAAAGGTAAGTACCTATAAGATTTATATACTTACGTATCTATATGCTTACGTACTGCTTGGCTAATAGAACTATGAACCTACCTAAAATGACCGTGGCTCGTGTGCCTTTGAGGTTTTAGAGGTAACTAACTCTAATCCGTTGCCAACCATGTGAAGAGGGAGATACCTAGTTGTTGTACATGAAGACTAGGTATTTATCATTATTATCATTTCAGCCGGTTGATGGCCAGTACTGGGCATAGACCCAATCTAGTTTCTAAATTGATGGATTATCGCCTCAGCAATTTAAAAAAAAAATATTCAGTTAATACCTAATTTATATTGTCCCTCTACTTAATTTTTTTTTCAGACATCCAGCCTTCCACTTCAAGTGCACTGACTGAAGATGCGATAAGGTACAAAAAATAATGGTTGTTCCTGTAAATAGAACTCGGGTTGAGAAGTTTAGAAGTAATATAACAAAAAAGCTGACGTATCTACCTTATAATGATAGCCCCAATGCACTTTACAACATATTATTTAATTTAATTAAAGTGGAATTTAATACTATATTTACTCCTAAGACAGTCAAACCTAAAAGCTCTGTAGTTTTCAATGAATGGGCAACAGTCGGAATTCATAATAGTAGACGTAGATTGTATGAACTTTATAGTGAAAGGACATACAATCATAGTCAATGTTTTGTTTCTTATGTTAGTGCCTACTCTAAAATATTTAAAAAAGCTTGTTATACTGCTAAATCTCTATATATTAGGAATAAAATAAAAAATGCACCTGATAGAATCAAAATGACTTGGAAAAATAATTAATAGCGAAACGGGAAGAGTCACGAAGCGCAAATCTGACCTAATGTTAACTAATGATAATAATTCTATTAACTCAAATCAACAGGCTGCTACTTCCTTCGAGAAATTTTTCGTTGACATTTCAGTTTCAACAACCAAGTCACTTCTTTCCTCACCGACAGTTGCTGAGTCATTACTAAAAAAGAATGTTATGGAATGTAAAGTCAACTTTAAATTTATTACTGTAAACAAGACAGAAATTGTTAAAACTTTTAAAACTTTAGATGTTAAAAGAACTGCAGATCTATGGGGGATCTCGGTTAAGGTGATCAGTTCTATTATTGATGTAATATCACCTTACCTAGCAACTATTTTTAATATTTGTATCAATCGTGGCGAATTTCCTGACCTTATGAAACATAGTAAAATCATTCCGGTGTTTAAATCTGGTAGTACTTCCGACCCCAATAATTTTAGACCTATCTCTGTACTGCCAACTCTTAGTAAAATTTTTGAAAAAATCATGTTGAATCAAATGTTACAGCATTTTAGCTCTCATAATTTATTACATAACAAGCAATATGGGTTTACTAGGGGTCGCTCAACAACTGATGCGGGTGTTCAGCTCGTTATGAATATTTTTGAAGCCTGGAAAAAGTCGCCGGATGCCTTAGGAATATTCTGTGACTTAACCAAAGCTTTCGATTGTGTACAGCATGAGACCTTGGTCAGGAAACTACGCCACTATGGTATAAGAGATGCCGCACTCAATCTTCTGAAATCGTACTTGAGCCATCGAATTCAGAGAGTTGA